TAGAATGCATAGCCATTGCAGCTTTTCATTTTTTTGAGAATCTGCTAATCCAGTATGCTATGGTTGTAATTTTAGGGATATTGTCAGCTTCAATTTCACCATGTGTTGCACGTAGAATAAGCTCTTCATGCATTTGTTGAGCGGACATTTTTTGTTGTTGATTTGCGGTACCAGTATAGAACATTGTTTTAAAAAGGGATTTAATTTCTTCTGTTATTTTTTTTGTTGGTTCACGTTGGGTTAACTTTTGATTTTCTTTTAAGGCCCATCCGTTCAAAAAAATCATATGGCTAAAAATTCAGGGTTTATTATTAATGCTTATCATATATTTTTTATAACTATATTTACTACCTTTGTATATCATCACTTATCAGAATTGTTGAACCTTCTGAAACTGAATTCTATAAATAGTGTATTTGTTATTTGACTTTTTCTCTTTTTTTCTCTTTTTTTCATTTTTTTTTCATTTTCATTTTTTTCATTTTTTTATTTTTTTTTTTTTTTATCTTTTCATTCTTTTTTTTTTTTTTTTTTTTTTTTTTTTTTTTTTTTTTTTTTTTATATTTTAATGTACTTATTTGTCTTCTATTCTCTATTCTAGATCTACTGCTTATTTTCGGGTCACGTGATTTCGCGGTCCATGGGACCTCGAAGTCTTATTTGAGTTCTTTAATTGTGAACTTCTTGAATAGGGCCGCACAACTCGCCCTATCCAATCCTGACCAACCTCACTCTATCGTCAGGTCTGTGAAAGCTAAGTAAAAAAATTTTTTTTTTTTTTTTTTAATTTAATTTTGATTAATTTTTTTTTTTCTTTTACTTCATTATTCCATATTCATATAATTATCCTAATCCATCGCTGCATCGTTCAAGAATAAGAACCATTCGGGGTCTTCAGAATCAATTTGAGAACTATAGAACATTTCTGTTTCGATGTTGGTATTCCACCAACATTCACTATGACCCAGGTGGAAATTAAGGATATATCTAGGGTCATAAGTTTCATCATCACTATCCTCGAATTCTAACTCATCATCGGTCCATTTAGGTGAGTCGATCAAGTATTCATCGTTAATATCCATTCCATTTTCTTTGTTAAACTCGGGTGATAACTAATATCCCATTTGTGCTATCAGAGTTGTTTCTCCATAGAATTCGTCATTCAGTTGCTGTACTAATTCTCTACGCCGTCTTTCATTTTCTAGGTATCGCTCAAACTCCTCTTTATCCCATCGGTTGGTCCACATATCGTCCCATGCTTTTTTAGCATTTGTTGATGCATTTCCATCCTCTTTAACAATTTTCTCACAAGATAATCTTTGGTTATCACATGGAATATTTCGACTTCTTTGGTCGAATTAATGGCCAGGTCTTCTGGATTTGTTAGGGGTCTAACATTAGTATCATTTTAATTTATTCCATCAATATTTCCTATATTGGCTGCTTTTGGGAGAGGATTAGATGCATTACACTCTTCCTCTATCATCCTTGATAATGCATCTGCATTATTATGCACTCTGCCAGCTTGATGGATGATAGTAAAATTGTAGGGTTAGAGACGTAGGATCCAATAAGCCCTTTTGTCCTTTAACGCACTAGTTTGGAGCCATTTTAGAGCCGAATGTTCGGTAACTATGACGAAGGGTTTGTACCCCAGGTAATGATAAAAATATTTGACCGCCCAAACTTCGTATAACACTCTAATTCGGTGGC